AGAATCCGTTGAACAGGTTTCGGACTCATCCCACCAACTTTGGCCACTTCTGCAGTCGTTAATCTGGGATCCATTTCGATAGCCAGATTTATTCCCTGGATCTATGATCGATTGTGTGTTGGTACTCGGTGTGTTTCTTCCAGACGGGGCGACGTAGCAGCTCTGCTCTTGACATATCTCAGCAATAATGTCATTCGTAGTAGAAGAAAACCCCCTCGACGTTGGAAGATATGACTTTCAGTGCCGGACCTGACAAGGCACACTTTCGTGTCGACACTGATATCTGCGTCAGTCTTGGGCTATATCTTTGGTTGTGTTTGGATTGGTGGTGGTTGCAAGATCAGCACTCATAGTGTTTATGACACCCCGGGCAGCAACGTGGTTGCTCTTGCAATGGCCCCATGGTTTAACTAAAGAACAACTTACAAAACTATATGACTAAATTAATGGAGTGGCTATGGAGTTTCCACTACGACTAACTCTAGCTAACACTTTTCTCAGTCACCACGAAGATTCTTCGTTGAACAACTGTTTAGAGATTTTCAAACCAATATTTTACAAATGCTACTATGAAGACACTTTCGTCACTTTTCGATCAAAATACGAAGTTCAACATTTTCTTTAATACATAAGCTTGCAGCATTCATCTATAAAGTTTACCTGCGATTCTCAAGAATAAAATACCTTACCTTTTTTAGATATGCTTATTACTCGAGATGCTCAGAGTTTATCGACCACAATCTATCTAAAGAAAGCGTTCACAGGCCAGCTCATAGTTTTATTCCTGTAAGATATAAGATCAACCTGGCAACATGTCTAATAACTCGAGCCTTTAAGATTTGTTCGACTTATTTTATTTCATATTTGAGGTTGTTTTTCTACGTGAAATACTACTGTATTATGGATGCCCTAAAAACTGTTGAAAACTTAACCAGTACATTTATGAATAAAAACTTAAAATTCCTATAAAAATGTTCACAGTTCATACATGTTCTATTTCGTTGACCATCCCCTACCTAGGACAACAAAGTATCATAAAAGTTCTCCTCACAGATCAAACTTAACATCATTTTCAAACTGTTTTCTTCAAATCAAAGGATTGTCTACCTATCTTTCTTCGTTCTTGGATTATCTATAAATACTTGTGTATGATGACTGCAAGGCCACCTATATCAGAAAACCCGAAGGAGAGTTTCCCGTCCTCATCCGCGAGCACTAACGTAAGGGTATCATTTAGGTCAGGTAACATCCTCTTAAGTCCACCCAATTCGGCGATCCAAAATCAGAGATATGTAACTGCACATCCCACTCAGGATTCACTAATGTACGTAATGATAATTCCAACCTTGAACTGTTAATCAAAGAAAGTATCCATAAAGCAAATTTTCCGATTTAAATATAACAGTCTTCTTATACACTTGATTTTTATTTTAAAGCAACGTTTTTCTTAACTTGATCTTCTAATGAAAAACTTTATAAATACAATATTTATTTTTAAAATATATATACATTTTTATAATGTTATTTCTTCTTTTCCATTGATATCGTTTCTAGATAGTCAATAATATTGTTGGTTAATTTCATTGTTGTTCTTGCTTTACGCGATTAGAACATCCCTTTGATCTTGTATATTCTGCTGTACCTAATTTTTGTTATCTTCTTATGCCTTATGATGATTTATGTAAAGAACGTTGCATGGTCATACTTATATATGTGTATGTAGTTATATGCAATAACATCTCACAACTTAGAAACAATGAGGCACGATGTTGTTCTTTGTAATTACCATAGTTATTTTTCCTATAAAATTGCGTTTTTCCATCGGAAAATCTCTGGCCGATATAAAGACGTGATAGAAAGTATAGTAATGCTTTGTGTTCACAACTTTAGCGAGAGTAACGAAACCCGATTTTTTTGTGTTACAAGCCCTCAGACTAAAGTACTCCCTACTATATATTTTACATGAGGTGTTGTTCTTTGACATGACACATTATAAGTTTGAGACGAAATGTTCATAACTCTTATGTACGTATTACGTTGAATATTCTTAAGTAACTAAAAGGTGATCTTAATAGATTAATAGACTTAACTAATTATGATTGATACTTAAAACCGTCGGTATTTGGTGAAACTCCATAATTACCTGATGATACCTTTACTAGCGAAACCATGGTCGTAATAAATGAAGTATTTGTGAAACGTACAATCGTCTTGTTTTTCCTCAATTCTGTACCTAACTAAATATTTCCCTAAATTAAAGAAATGGTATTTTTCTAATTTCTGTTTATTTAATACGTTACTTTGGCTCATTTTATGTGTTACTTATCACTCAGCTTTTGTATAAACTCTGCCAACGATCTAGTTTTTAATATTTAATAATTTTTTTACTACAGCTTTCATACCCAAGACAGAAGGTGAATGTCCTGCTGGAACAGAATCGAAACACGACCCAGAGAACGGCGAAATTTGCGGTAAGTATAACAATGAAATTTATCGTTTATAAGTTAAGATTTTGTTAACAGTTATGCAGACATCCCGAATCTACGTAACTCTAACTGTTCGAAAGTGTATTTCAACCGGCCCATTTACACGTGTTTGGCACATATGACGTTTTTTTTTGCCAAACTCACAAACCCATATTTGGGAGCCATTTCTATGACCTATCTTAATGTACTGGTACAAATGTTAAAATGCGAATGCCCTAAATTTTTAGATCATTCATTACAATGGGATTAATTTGATAAAACCTTGCGATATGAATTTTCAGTAAGAACCATAAATTTCATAAAACAATTACTAATTTAATATACTCCAACAAAACTTCTGAAAAGTTATACAGTTTCCACCTAAATGTGCCACAATACATTATATTAATGGATCTCTTTTCCCTATCACTTAGTTATTGCAACAAAACTCAATTTGTCCTAAAGAGATTTAATCTATCTCTTCAAAACTATAGTATCATTTGATTTGGTAAATCCCAAACATATAAACACAGTAAACCTGATTTTTACCATTTCGACAGCTATAAGACAAGAAACAAATAAAAGTCTTAATGTGTATAAATAGACTTTCATTTTGCCTGCATGTACCAAATGTGATGCATTTAGGTACTTTGAAAGGAAAGCAAGACATAGTGAAAAAATAGTTAACTTAGCTCGCTGTGGATTTATACAGTTGTCACAGTAGTTCAGCGTTAAAACTTTAAAATAAAAACCTTTATTTATAAAATGTCTTTCTTAAACCACAAAATTGACATAAATCAAAACGCAATAGAAAAAAAAAAGTTATCTAAACATTTGACATTTGTCATGATGACAATGACATCTATACTTCATTGTAGAAAATGAAATTACATTTTATACGTGTTAATAAATTCTTCGCACATAATGGAAATGAAATTTACAAGTTTAATTGTGTGGGTTAGCATATTTCCGCAAAGAGTGTTAAGTTAGTCTATATTATAATGGTAGGATCAGCAGAATAAATTACAAAGTAAATTTGACATTGACTAAACTGACTCATTCTAAGCTAAGAAATATAGAGAATGGACACAACGTGTAAGGCAAAATGAACAATCTTTATTTATATCTAAACACAAAACAAAGTATGCATATTTATGTTGGGCACTGAACATTTGCCTTCTACTGTTCTTCCCTCAGTATATCTTTCTGTCGACTGACTTGCTTAAGGTACCATATAGAACTGTTTGAATCCAATAATCCTTACTTAACATGAAACATTTTATATATATATCCATAGTGACTACTGCTATCCACGTGACTGATCATTTTCATTCAACATAGGAGAGATTAAACCTCTAAATATCATCTGCTTCACAGTGAAGGACACTGCTGTCATTGAAATTCTTGCACTACATCCAGCGTTACACCAATATTCTCGCAGTCTGAATAGGTATTATTAGAGAACAACAAAGGAACAAAGGTGGCTAGAACGAAATCAAGTTAATGGTTTTTCTTGACTAGGTGGTATCCAGAAACTGAATAACTTCCGACTAAACAAAACATTTTGAAAATGTCTACATTAAAATAAGAGGGTATAAAATGTATAGTATGCTTGCATACCACAATTTTCCTTCCTCCTCTATTTCAAGCTTGTCCTCAAGATATAAAACCACTTGACTTTAATCTTGTGACATGTTAAAAAAACACGTTAACTCTCTCTTGCTTTTGCAAACGTGTACAAGCAACATGGACGAGATAACCTTGAAACAAAGAAGAACAAGTCAAACATAAAAAATCACGAATCCCTTAAATATAAAAAATATATTACAATATAAGGTAGAAGTATAGGAGAAAAACCATTGAAACTACATTAATGGTAAAATGAAACACTTTTAGATAATGAAGTAATATAAATATACGAAAAAGCTTAATATGCCAATAATGCATAACATATAAAACACCTTTTGACAACTAATAACATGGATCCCCAAGAAAGAAAAATACATAATACAAAAATAAAGCCTTTAATAAAAATCGCAGGTACAAACACTTACATAGACAAATTATCCTTTAATATAGAAAATTACACATAAAAAACACTCTTAAAAAGATTACTTATCCACATTAGGAAGGGGTAGTCTAACAAACTATGCATAACTACAAAAAAAAAGCCAACCAAAATTAAAACTCTTTAATATAGTAGTATGTGAAATCAAGCTTCTTACGTAAAACATAACCAGTCAAAATAAAACAAAAACCTCATAATACACATTTCAAATATTGCATTATTTGAATAGAAAATGACTGGGGCATGCATACATGCACAATCTTCGAGAAAAAAGTGAACAGGAATACCATTGATAAGACTACTATTTAGACAATGAAGAAGCACTAAAACTACAACTATATTAATGTAATAATATACAATCAACGATAATAACTTTAACACTTACTATAAATTAAAATCATTGAGAAATCTAGTTTCTCATGCTAGATGTATAGGATATCTGGTACTAATAATATATGTATTTTTTAGATCGAAAAATATATTGTAAGATTTAGCAGTTCAAAGAAGCCTTGTCTCTTCGATTACTTGTGGTATCGTAAATACTGAACTATGTATCCGAATTGTGAATTCACTAAATTAGATACTTCATGTTCTTAGTATGGAGAATATACGCAAATGCTATACATTAATTATAATTCATTTTAGAAAAATATGCAAGACACAAATCATACGAGTCGTCTTAGGTTTATAGCTGGCTTTAAATATATAAAACTTTTATTTACCCAGATCATAATTGCCTTTAGTCTACTTGTAAAATTTGTAACTTACTTATGGATTTCTTCTCGAAATGCATTTAATGATATTCAAACATATTAATAAGTTACTGATAATTATTCAACTTAGCCGAGTTATTGGTGATATGTGTCTGATAATTATTAAAATAATTCAGTTAATTGAATATTAAGACATGAGGATCCCACGAGATGTTATATTTAATATCGTCATCAAGTTTACAGTGGAAATGTTGTTGTTTTAACAAAAAAACAAACTTTTCACTGTAAAGCTGATCACGGTATTATGTTTAATGTACTGTTGACAGGCATCTGGTCGTTATTCAAATTCCCTGGGTTTATTGTTCATATGTGCTTGATACGTATTAAGAATATTTAATTTACTGTAGATATATGTATGGAAATTATTAAAATGTTTCTTTTTGTTGTTCGTATGCGTTTGATAAGTATTAAAATGTAGGTTATCGTTGATGTGAGCCTGGTAACATTTTCAAACTTCTCAGTTTATTGTTGATATATTACTAGTGGTTATTTAAATTTGGCACTTTATTATTAGTCATTGTTTCGTTAAAGTATTGCATGATAACGGTTAACGTTTGTTTTAAAATTGTTTTAACTCTCAATTTTCTGATATCTAAATAAATAAATCTCTATAGATAAACTACAATATGTTTGTTTTCTAGCCGAACGCATGTTTAAGTAATCTAAGTAATTATAATTTGTTTTTTTCTGATCACTAATTAGTGTCTGGTGTCATCTTAAGTCCATTACAACAACGATATTATTTTACTACTTTTCATACCTTAGAGTTTTATGAATTATGTATTGTTTTCGTAATTAGTGGAATGCCCACCGGGATATTTTTGGCAGTCAAATAGCGCCGTTTGCAATATCTGTCCTACTGGTGAATATCAAGATGAATTCAGACAAGTTGCGTGTAAGAAGTGCCCCATGGATAAAAATATTTTGTTAAAACTCTCACCAACTGCTCAACTATCGTGTGAAAAAGTTTAGAAAACCAACAATGAATCCGGAGTAGGCAAAAGTATTGCTTAGGAAAAGTAAAATTATTCACATTTGAATTAGATGGGAAAATGAACTTCTTAAACAACATTTTCAATATATCAAGAATTGGGAGAAATAAAAATTACAGATGTTAATGTTCTCTGTTTCTGAAAGAAAACACCATGACATCATTACTGTACATTTTTTTGGAAAAACTGAAAACGAAACTAGTTATTAGTGAATAAATTAAAGATACAATGATTGGTTTAAAATGTTTGATCTTTTAAAATCGGCAGTTATTTACATCAGTCATTTCAGCGTTATGTATAAAAGAGTTATATTTTGTGCACTTTAATCCAAATATTCCTAACACTGCAACTGTTCAACTTTCACATAATCATATCTAGACTATTCACACACTTGTGAGTTATGCCCTTAGAAATCAAAGTTAAAAAACAAGTATCTCATACTTGAATATAAGTATTAATGTGTCAATCACAAATTCGAAGAATTTATCTTAATGGAAAGATTTATAGTTTCCAAAGAGAGTATACATAGTTCTTTATAAATTTTATTCCAATGCTTTAGACAAAGTTTTAACATTTTAAATGGTAAGCAGGTTGTTATGAACCATTAAATATTTTGTAAACATCATATGGCTTTATGATTTGTTTGAAATAAAACATATTTTTCAACAATGAGTGTTTTTCCTGACAATTGTCTTGCACTTTTTTATAAGATCATCTAAATATTATTAATACAATCATGATTGAAATGTATAATTTTGGCTCTTGATATTAAAAACATTATTCACTGACCAGAACAAACTTGCATGAAAGTCAGAGTAAAATCAGTCAGAGGTTTCAAACAAATAATATTACGATGGTATAATATTGTTCGTTATAATCTCAATTAGAAAGTAAGGATTTTACATAGACCAGATTGAAATGAACAGGACACCTTGTGACGCAATTTATAACTCTCATTATAAACTTGACATGCGAACAAGTATTTCTGTATGTATTTTGTATTTGCGGCAAAGCTACAAAGCTATCGTCCCTAATTTTGAACTACTAACCAAAAGGAAAGTAACCAGTCAGCAGCACCCTATCACACACCATCCACCTAACCAAAAGGAAAGTAACCACTCAGCAGCACCCTACCACACACCATCCACGCTTTGGTGTGAATTGTCACTCTTATATCCATCTACAACTTGAAGTACGCAGAATACTTTGTGGTATCGCACGGATTCGATGACATCCAGCTCCAAGCGAATTGATGCAATCCATTCCTGATCAATCCTCACAAAGACTGGTATACATTTCAGCCCATATCACCGATAGGTATCAGATGTCAGAAAATTACAAGAATTTTAGTCCCGTTTTCTTGTATTAACTCTTCTCAAATAAGGCACTCAAAATTATCCCAATCGCACATTGCATGTATAAATAGAATGATCTCATAAGCAGCTTTAAAGACTAATAAAGTTTTGCACTACAGTTATATCTCTTATATTGGATGGATTCATTTCTTTTCCTTCAAATCCCATATTAATCGGATTATTTTTTACATGATACAACGACAGCACTAGTCGATCTAATGGTCTACGATGATTTCTACACGCATGTCATATGGTTATTTAGTCCTAAGAGCCATGATTGAAATCACACTACTACTACTACTACTGGACATAATATGAGTGCCTGTACTTTTACAAGCTTTATATTGGTGTAGCATTTCTGATTGGTTGAATGACAACCAAGCATAGTGTAAACTATCAACAAGTGTCTGTATTCAGGTGTAGTTCCTTTTCACGCAGTAAAGGGGTAAAGGGTTGGCATTTCTGTAATAATTTCTCTATTATAATACTGTTACCATAATTATTTTCGATACTGTGCTTCCGATTCGATTTTCTTGAAACATTTTTAATCACAATTTCAAAAGCAGTGTTTGAAAATGTTACAAGAAGACTATTTTGAGAAGTATTTTATAACTTTCTGACTTTGAAGCATCAGATAATACTATTGTTTTTTGTTGCTATTGATTGACATCCACTATAACAAAGTTCCAGAGTAAGCGATATGCGTATTTCCAAGTAAAATATTAGCATTGGCACAAAATATTGTATATTAATGATCAACCTCAACATTGTGGTTTTGGCAGATTATATATATTTCTCATATATTTCTAACTGGTAAAGAATGGAAAAGAGATAATAAGAGAAGAAGGTAGCATAAATCGCTAGGAAAGAGATTTCAAACCAAGCTCATCAAACATCAAGAGTCCATTTTGAATGCTATGTTATAACTTTGTGCTCGGTCCGTTCATTTTCTGTTAATTATTACAGAGAGAAGTAATGGTATAATACCAAGAATATCAGTTTACCCCTATATAACTTTTTACTTGAATAAATGCATTATTTTGTGATTACATATAGAGTCGTTGTTTTTATTTATTTTTGTGCTTTAACTGATACCCAGAAATTATTCTAACCTGTGTACTCACAAACTTCGATCCTGTGCTTTTCAAACACGCACTCGCAAACACATATTCTGTAGTCATGTCAAATGTATGAGAACGTTCATAACATTTCGGGAGAGCACAAAGTAACATAACTACCAACAGTTGAAAATGTACTTTACAAACAAGTTAAAATAAGGTAGAATGAAAATCTAAAACACAGAAAAGTTTAAATAGAAAGTAATCGAAAGAACATCTGCATACCTTTGGGATATTTTCATTATGTATACTTCTCTCGAAAGTGATAATAGTTAATGAGGAACAATAATAAAATACTCAACAGGTGACGCTACAGTACAAGAATATATATATATATAACGTATTTCTTGCACCCGTTAAGACCTAACCTATAATAATCACATTAGAAGGCTTAAGGTGCTGTGAAAATAACATTTTGTACAGAAAAAGTTTGTAGGTCGAACAAGGATAAGAGGAAAAAAGATTTGTCAGACTTAAATAGTAAGATGGATGTTTCTTTTTTTCTAATTAACAATGGGCTATCTGCGATCTGTTCATCACTGAAACTAATCCCGGATTTTAGCGTTAGAAGTTCGCTGACCCACTGGAAGATTCCAATTAAGATTACATACTTTAAACTTGTATTCATTATATGCTTATATTTCAAAACAAAATAGCCTTATGTATTAACTTTATCACGTTGTATCTGCAATTTTCTTTACCTCTTAGCAATATCATATATTAAGTGTGATGCTCCAAATAATAATTTGACTAAATTATTATTGAGAAACCAACTAAGGGAGGGTTAAGTACTTACGGTAAAGTTATTCAGTCGAGTGTATAAAGCACCAGATTCCCATCTAAAACCCGACCACTTCCATCACAAAAAAGGTCCTTCTAGGACTTCCCTATAAACGTCAGCAGATTAGCAGCTGAAATGTAGGATAAAATTAGACAATAATTAGTATATAATTAATAATAACTCAGAAAGAAACTATTTCATAATTAAACTTAGGTGGTCGAATAGTCTACTAACCATAACAGTGGTAAGAGAGGATTGTTTCCTCATCTGAATGAAATAATAGAAGTATCTTATTTTGCATCAAAAATGCAAACTTTTATAAGCTGATAACTATGGCGGTAAAATGGTCGGTAAATGTTTTCTCGTTTCACAGCAAAAGTCGCATTTAAAAGAAAGCTAAAGCTGTACGTAAAGCGTTATCTTAGAAGAGTCTATTCAGGCTAAACAGGTGTAATGTAATATTCTGATATAACAAAGGAACATATTTTGTTGGTGCAAACAGTCGATATTAAGTATATGGTGATCTTTTAATATTTATACTATGCCATTTGCTACTATCTATTTTAGAGCATATATATAATTGCCAGTAATCTCAACAGCCGTTGCGCAAATACAAATATAACTGATAATGCCATACGGAGGCTTTATCTGTTGACTGAAATGTAGAATAATCATCATAATTTGTAATTTTTAGCAATACAATGCAACCATTTGAATTTGGGTGGCAATCGGCATAATTATATTTTCAGAATCTTTCACGTTAACTTTTTACGTCTTTTTCTCGAAGTTCTAAAATAATCTACAATTAATACCCATATAAAGTTAGAATTAAAACTTAAGATTATTTCTAAACTACTTATAGATATATATATCACAGGTATCCAACCTCCTTTCATTATCATACCACAAATCAGATAAACTGACGACTTGGATGAAGAAAAGCAGCAACACCAATTGTAGGAGGATCGCAAATTTAGGATTCTTTAGAGAGTACTTACAACGAATATTTTGCGGAATGTTTAATCATATTTGGATGGCCCATGTCAACTCTTAATTTTTTTATTAAAGAAGAGTTAAGTGGTATAAATTGGTATGGAAACTTGAATGGTACTTTTAGGGTATGACAAAAGTGAGTTGACTTGCTCTTTTGTAAGATCTGGAGACTTACTTTATAGAACTTGTACAATATAAACAGCTTTACATTTTGACGTTAGCTTGAATCCTTGCTCCTGGTAAGAGCAAGAAATGTCTACATAAGCGTGGTTCCTGTAATGCTTAGCCGCGGTGGGTGCTGAAACATATTAGATGCCATAAGCTTCCAAATATCACTTGGATTACAGTATATAGATGTAAGTTTCACATGGTATCTCAATAATCGAATAAACAAGGTATTTCAGTAATAAAATAAACAAAATAGTTCACTAATTAAATAAACAAGGTATTTCAGTAACGGGATAAACAAGAAATTTCAGTAATGGAATAAACAGGGTATTTCAGTAATTAAATGAACAAGGTTTTTCAGTAATTAAATAAACAAGTTACTCAGTAATGGAATAAACTAGGTAATTTAGTAATGGAATAAACAAGGCATTTAAGTAATGGAATAAACAAGGTAATTTAGTAATAGAATAAATAAGGCATTTAAGTGATGGAATAAACAAGGTAATTTAGTAATGGAATAAATAAGGCATTTAAGTAATGGAATAAACAAGGTAATTTAGTAATGGAATAAACAAGGCATTTAAGTAATGGAATAAACAAGGCAGTTGAGTAATTAGATAAACAAGGTATTTCAGTAATTAAATAAACAAAATTGTTCACTAATTAAATAAACAAGGTATTTCAGTAACGGGATAAACAAGGAATTTCAGTAATGGAATAAACAGGGTATTTCAGTAATTAAATGAACAAGGTTTTTCAGTAATTA